GCGGCTCCCCCTCAACAGGCCCAGGACGAGGCACTGGTACACCTCAGTCCCCTGGATGTTTCATCCCAACCGGCTACCCAACTGGGCCTATTGGACCCCACCACCGTGTCCCTTTCCCACCAACCCGGGTTGGACCTCTCCTTGGGCCGGGCCTCCTGCATCTTCTTTCTGGCCTACACCTACCGGCACACCTGCAACATCCAAATCTGGACCCAGATCCCCTGCTCCAACAGCAAACCAAGCCAACCTTACTGCATTCGACCCTCTCGAGCCCGCTCAACTTGGCGAAGCCCTTCAGACAATGACTATGGACCCGGTTGATGGTCAATGGTACATGGACTCCGGTGCCACAGATCACCTCACAGGTGACCAAGGTAAAATTTCCAAACCCTCGTTCAATTGTCCTCTTAGCTCCATCTTTATAGGTAATGGTGCCTCTGTGCCATTTTGTGGATCAGGTTCCTCAACCATTCAGATAACCACACGAAACCTTCACTTAAATAATATCCTTTACACACCAAATATCATCAAGAATCTTATTTCTGTTCGAAAATTTTATGTTGATAATAATGTTTTCATAGAATTTGATCTTCATGGATTTTCTGTGAAGGATTTTCCGAATGGTCAGATGCTGTCCCGCCACAATAGTTCCAGCAAACTTTATCCTCTCACTTACCCAGTCACAAATGCAGCCTTCCTTACCTCAAGTGCTCGATATTTTTGGCATGATCGACTGGGATACCCCGGTCTTCCAGTTTTGGATTTTCTTAGTTTAAACAAGCTTATTCCATGTAATAAACATTCTAGATCATTAGTTTGCAATTCTTGTCAAATTTCCAAGCATAAACGATTACCATTTTCAGATTTAACTTCTTCTACTATTTTACCATTTGATATTGCTCACTGTGACTTATGGACATCCCCCGTCCTCAGCAAATCCGGTTATAAATATTACATGGTTTTAATAGATGACTTCACCAACTACACTTGGGTTTTTCCTCTTAAATACAAATCTGAAACATTTTCCAAATTTTCTCAATTCCATAACTATATTTCCACTCAATTCCACCTAAAAATTAAAAATTTCCAATGCGACTTAGGGGGTGAATTTGACAACCAACACTTCAAATCTTTTGCTGAAACAAACGGTCTCCTTTTCCGGTTTTCTTGCCCTCACACTTCCCAACAAAACGGAAAATCTGAGCGTATGATTCGTCTCCTTAACGAGATCATACTTACACTCCTCACCCACACATCTCTTCCACCACATTTATGGGTCGAAGCACTTCATACTGCATCTTATCTTCACAACATTCTCCCAACAAAACTCTTGAAATTCAACACCCCCATGACTGCTCTCTACCACCGATAACCATCATATGAACACCTCCGTGTGTTTAGCTGTGCGTGTTATCCTTACACTACCGCCACACGAAAACATAAGTTGGAACACCGTTCAACTCATTGTGTTTTCCTCGGGTACCCCGCTAATTTCTGCGGGTATCGGTGCCTTGACATATCTTCCGGCAGGGTGATTTTATCCCGTCATGTAACCTTCGATGAGACATGCTTTCCTTTTTCTAAACAACATTCTCATGTTCTTGTTGACTACTCTTTCCTTAAGTCTGACACGTCTCCTCTCATCTTTCACCCGCCTGTCTCTCCACCACCTCCACAAACACCCAACCACCATCCCTCTACTCCAAACACAACCCTCCCACAACCCCCTCTCCTTCATACCTACCACCACCGACACAAACACCCACAAACCACCTCAAACACCGTACAACCCGCATCAGCCCCTACCATACCACCTCCACCACCTCCCCCACTACCACCACAAACCGCTTCCACCCACCCCATGATAACCCGGTCCCGAGCATTTACAACTCAACCTCCTGTCAGCCTTCACACCACTACTCGAATTCACATATCTCCCATACCAACCTCTCACATCAAAGCCCTATCTAATCCACATTGGCACGCCGCCATGACTGACGAATATCGAGCCTTAATGGACAATCAAACATGGGAATTGGTACCTCGGCCACCTTATGCAAACATTATTCGATGTATTTGGTTATTCTGTCACAAGTTTAACGCTAATGGCACCTTACAACGATACAAAGCAAGATTAGTAGTTAACGGGAAATGTCAACAGGTCGGCATTGATTGTGAAGACACATTTAGTCCCGTTGTCAAACCAACCACAATCCGAACGATACTCACTCTCACCGTCTCCCGGGGTTGGTTAATTAACCAACTCGATGTTAAAAACGCATTTCTGCACGGGGACTTACATGAAACAGTATATATGTTTCAACCTCTGGGATTTACCGACACCACTCATCCCAATTATGTATGCAGGTTACGTAAGTCACTTTACGGGCTTAAACAAGCCCCCAGGGCATTGTATGACAGATTTGCTACCTATATTAAAAAGTCTGGTTTCCGGAGTACCGTCAGCGACTCTTCCTTTTTTGTCTACAAAAAGGGACAAGACATGGCCTATTTACTGTTGTATGTTGACGACATTATCCTCACGGCATCTAATAATCAACTGCTCACCAGCATCATCGCTCTTCTATCTCGTGAGTTCGCTATGACAGATCTCGGCACCCTCCATCACTTTCTTGGGATCCAGGTTACACAAAAGAACGGCGGTCTTTTCCTCTCACAAGAAAATTATGCCGCTTCCGTTTTATCACGGGCTCATATGGCAGATTGCGAGCCTTCTTCCACTCCTGTTGACACTTCCCCCAAAATGAGTGCAACTAGTAGAAACCCGCTACCTGATGGGACACATTATCGCCAATTGGCAGGCGCTTTACAATATATCACCATCACTCGCCCGGACCTAACCTATGCGGTTCAACAAATCTGCCTGTTTATGCATGCCCCTCGAGACACCCACTTTCAGTTCCTCAAACGGGTTCTTCTCTATCTTAAAGGAACTCTCAACTATGGTCTCCGTATAACACCCTCCAAATCGACCCAACTTACTGCCTACTCTGATGCCGATTGGGGGGGGGGGGGGGGGGATGCCCCGACTCTCGCCGCTCTACATCCGGATATTGTGTTTTCTTAGGGGATAATTTGGTTTCTTGGTCTTCAAAACGTCAAGCAACCATATCACGCTCTAGCGCGGAGGCAAAATATCGTGGGGTTGCAAACGTGGTTGCCGAAACGGCTTAGCTGCGTAACTTACTTCTTGAACTTCATCTTCCAACTCGCACGGCCACGATAGTTTACTGCGATAATATATCAGCCGTATATTTATCGGAAAACCCCGTTCAACACCAACGTACCAAGCACGTGGAAATTGATATACACTTTGTCCGAGAAAAAGTGAAAATTGGTTCTGTTCAAGTTTTACATGTTCTTGCCAAGTTTCAGTACGCTGACATATTCACTAAAGGGCTTCCACGTCACCTTTTCACTCGGTTTCGGTCCAGTTTGGGCATTCGTCCTCCTACTGCTCAGACCGAGGGGGTGTATTAGCGTGTATATTATTAGCTGTAAATTGTATTTAATATTAGCTTATCTATTTTAGGTTAGTACCTAGAAATCTGCGATTATCCCTAATTACAGGGAAATCTGTTCCTCTTTTGTAGCTAGCTTTCCTGTATTTAATCTGTTGTACTCTGTTTTGCTGGGCACAAAGACACGATTCCCTTTATAGAGGAGTACTTAGACCACCAATTTATTCTTCGAAATTAACAACAAAATGTATTTCCTTTTTTTATAATAAAATTATTTTTTATGTTTATAAATGATTTGTTAATAATAATATCCATTAATTTCATGGTAATTTTCAAAAAGTCCCAATATTTTGGTTATTAGGTAATTTTTGGAAAGGTCCCAAAATTTTGAGCAAATTAACGAAAAAGGACACAATACCAGCAAAATCTGCGAAACCGGCCGGAAAGGGTTTTTTCGAAGTTTTAACCGGTATTCTGTGTTTTTTTGTAAATAAAATTTTGTTTGGGACTTTTTCATAAATTTGACTAAAATTTTAGAACTTTTCTGATAACTCTTGATAATGGGAAAGTCTCGACCTTGTCATCAAAGGTTTCCATGCACATCTTAAGGTGAATATATAGATTATATTGTGGATGACAAAAGATCAACCATTGCCAAATTGTAATATAATGTGGAAAATAATGCAGAAACATACATACATACATTTATACAAATATAAATACATACATATATAAATATCGGACAAATCTTAGATATAGCAATGTACCATAGTGCATGTTTCATCCATTTCTCAGCATTTCTTTACTCGAAAACTAATTAATTTATTTTTTTACAAGAGAAGATCAAGAGAAGAGAATGAGACTAGGATGAACCAGGTTATAACAGTCTTTTCAAATTATCACTGACTAAAATAAAATAAAAAACACACAGAACTTCGGTAATGAGGCACTCAACTCCATATATACAAATTGTAGAAGATCAAGATCCTGAAACAATAATGACATTCAAGTATTAATTACAGAAATCCATGGGAATGATGAGATAAAGTTTAGTTATACCTCAAGAGGAGGACCTATCTAGGGACCAAATTATAAGTACTAGAGGTTGCTGATAATAAAGTAACATGGGTTGAGAACTTGAGATAATAAGTAGATTCCCTACATAGATACCAGATTAATCTCAATTAACAAAACATTTACCCCAGATATCACGAATGCTTGATAAAGAACAGAACAGATGCAGATGCCTGATAAAATCAGTTATATGATCAAATCAATTTTTTGACATGTATAAACAACAATAAACTAGATTCTCCACATATATAATAAAGATATCAAAAGATTTACATGTAACACAAAAGTTGTCTCTAAGTACAGTACTTGTATCTTTTTAGTTATAATTGTTGATTGTGGCTGAAAACATAATTATCATCATAAAAATTTCAAATTTGAAATCATGTAACATGAATACAAGATCAATAAAAAAACACTCAAAGTACCTCTTCCAATAGTTCTATTTCACTTGACTATGGGCTCCTGCATTATGGGTACCCGTGCGTAACACATCGTTTCATCTATATATTCGTGGGCTTCTATCTCGGGTGTAAACCCACACGACTGAAGAAGCTGTCTCGACCCTTGAATACGCAGATCTTTCAACAAAAAAATGCTCTGCGGAAGATCACTTATGCTTGTACCATGTATATATAACGCTTCTAAACATCCCAAACGTCCAAGTTCATCAGGCAATTTTTCAACTCGAATACAACTGTAGAGAAAGAAATGTTTTAGACATTTCATCTCACAGATGCTATTTGGGATATCTTGTAAACGTGCACATCCGTGTAAATCTAGCTCCTCTAAACATTCTAATTGGCCAAGATCCTCTGGTAACTTCTCAAGCAATGAACCACAGAGTAGAAGATTTTTCAAGCGTTTCAACATGCAAATGCTCTCTGGAAGATGTTTAATAATCTTTGCATCTGTCAAATGTAGCTTCTCTAAACATTCTAATTGGCCAAGATCCTCTGGTAACCTCTCAAGCAGCAAACAATCATAAAGTTCGAGATATTTCAGGTGTTTCAACATGCAAATACTATCCGGAAGATGTTTAATAATCTTTACATCTGTCAAATGTAGCTTCTGTAAACATTCTAATTGGCCAATATCCTCTGGTAACTTCTCAAGCAACGAACAATCATAAAGTTCGAGATATTTCAGGCGTTTCAACATGAGAATGCTATCCGGAAGATGTTTAATCTTTGTATAATACAATATGAGCTCCTCAAGAGATTCTAACTGGTCAAGGTCCTTGATCACCTCTACAAAACTGTGTTGGAGTACAAGCTTTCTTAAACGTTGTAAACCACAAATGCTTTGTGAAAACGTCTCAAGGTTTGTGCAAGCACACATACCTACAGAAAAAAGTCTCTTAAGATTTCTAGTCAATGAGGGTCGATCTTCTTTATAATCACAGAAAAACTGAAACTTTGGCAATTTATTGTCTGGGTGAAGTAGGCATCTTTTTACAGACTCTGCACACAGATATAACTCAGCAAGAGGACCAACCTCAAGTGACTCATCCACACTACAAGAGGTATAATCCTTTATGTTAAACTCAAAACGTCTAAACCTCAAACAACCACTTAAGTTTACGTGGACAAGCTTTTTTAGACATCCAAAAGGAGTGTGAAGTTCTACCAATTTATGACACTCTATGAGAACTAACTTCTCGAGATTTGGAGTCATCCCAAGGTCAAGGGTCCTCAAATTTGAATAAGTAATTATGAGTTCGTTGAGCTTTTGACATTCATTGGCCATGTGAAGTTCTTCCAAACAATAAGACTTTTTAAGGTTTAACTTCTCGAGATTTGGAGTCAGCCCAATGTCAAGGGTCCTCAACTTTGATTTGGTGAGTAGTAAGTGTCTGAGATTTAGACATCTTCCAGGCAAGTGAAGATTTTCCAAATCTTCGCATCCAACAAGAATCAACTCTTCAATATTTGGAGCCAGCCCAAGGTCAACGGTCCTCAACCTTGAGCCTTCGAGGTTGACAGATGTGAGCTTTAAACATGCAGCGGTCATGTGAAGTTCTACCAAATGATAACAATCTTTAAGAGTCAACGTCTCGAGATTTGGAGTAAGCCCAAGATCAAAGGTACTCAACACTGGACTACTGAGGTCAAGGAATCTGAGCTTGTTAAGGACCTAAAATAAGCAAAAAGTAAAATGAATATTGGTGTAATAACAAAACAATGTATGTATAACATCATAATGAATCATGCAAAACAACCAATCAACCATAATTTTACCTTTCTTTCTCCCCCTTCCCAAAGTTGTACGATTCTGCTGTTAGCCATCTCAAGTGCAACAAGATTATTTGCTTGAAATGTTGTTGGTAAAGACCTAAAAGGGTAAAAGTCCCAATGCAGATATCGTAAAGCTTTTGGGAAGTCTGGACCGACTATACTAAACTCCAAATCAATGGAACAATTTCCACGAACAGAAAGAAATCTAAGTTCCTTCATCTTTCTTAGACCTTTTATGAAAATAGGAAGACTGAATTTCTTTCTATGGACTTGTATATATTTTGTTGCTTTAGTACTACCCTGCAATTCAATAGAAGTCACCATGAAAATTGTGTCATAATAACTATAAATGTGTTGGTGTTTCCCAACAAAAAAGTAAACTTTATCCTTACCAAATCATTAGCTAATGTATCTTCAATTTCATCGACTTTCCACAATCGGCTATGTTTATGAGGCTTATCGGGGTGTGAGTGACGCACAATATTCCTACCCATTTCCTCAAGATGATCATGCATGCCTAAGTGATCATAACCATAGTTCTTATAAATAGTTATAAGAGATTTTTGCTGAAGAACTCTTAAACCATTTCTAGCATAAAATCCACAGCTTTCAAGCGCTTTGATTGCATCATCTTTCCGCCAACCTTTCATGATGCATGCAACGTTTAGAAAAATTTCCTTGTAATCCTCCTCTAGAGCAATATAGCTTAGTTCCAATTTTTTCAAGGTCTCATTTAACGGAATTGTTTTTAGGCGTTCTAGGGCATCTATCCATTCCAGCTCATTTTTACCACAAAGAAATGAACCCAAAACTCTGATTGTTAACGGAAGACCAGCAGCATAACGTACAACTTGTCTACATAGCTCTTCATACCCTTGAGCTGGAATATCTGTCCCAAATGCATACCTACTGAAGAGGAAAATTGCTTCGTTATTTGATAATAGATTGACATCATAAATCAACTTCACTCGGTGTGCTACTAGCACTTGCTCATCTCTTGTCGTAATGATAATCCTACTTCCCGGCTTAAACCAATTAGGCTCACCGGCTAACACCTCAAGCTGGTCTATGTGATCCACATCATCTAGAACAACAAGAACCTTCCTACTAGGCATCATCGTCTTCATCATTTGTTTCCCATCATGAACACTACTTATGCTGATGTCTTTATCATTTAAAATGTCTGAAAGGACTTGCTTTTGCAACGACTTTAAACCTGATAAAGAAGCATTTTCCCTGACATTTTCAACGAAGCTTTTACCTTCAAACTGAAAGGATATGTGATCAAAAAGAGCTCTTGCTAAAGTTGTCTTTCCACCACCTCCAATCCCCTTGATCCCGATCAAGCGGACATCATCACAACAAATTCCTAAAGATGGTACAAGATCTTTGATCCGGGTCTCCATTCCTACTAACTTTTCATCAATGTTGAAACTGATGGTACGTAACACTAATGAAAGCTCTTCAACTATTTTTTGGATGACTTTTGCTTCATGCCTGTATATAAAAAAAAGAAAAATTCAATTAGCCTACTCAAAATCCCACATGACAAGTTACCTTCAGATCTATAACCTACATTGATACAACCCTATATGAAAAAAATTGTAGTTGTATAAATCATAATTCATGGTTATTCTTTCGACAAAACTCAAATTGAGTTAAAATTTGGCAATCCAAGATGCCATTTGGGAGCATTTTACATCTAGGTTATATGCTAGATCAGAAATAAACAAAATAGAAAAATATTGCATAAGATCTAATGAAGGAATTACCCATCAGCAGTATTCTTCAACTCCCACCCCGCAAGATCCGCTGCTTCTTTCAGAGCCACCCTCCATTTCCCAGCAGCCTCTTCCATTTCGTACTTGGCAAATGCTTCTCCAACTGCCCCACTTTGTTTTCTGACTTCGGAGGGTTCCACATCATAGAAGACAGGGTAAGCAGTGTGCTCTGTTGTCGTCCTGTGGCACTCCATTATCTTCACAAGCTCATCCAAACACCAAGATGAAGAGGCATAGTTCTTTGAGAAAACAATGATGTAGATTTTTGAATCTTCAATGGATCCGATGAGCTCATTGCTAATCTTTTTACCTTTTTTGATTCTCTCATCGTCCCTGTAAGTATGAATGCTTTTCCGCTGGAGAGCATGATAAAGATGATCAACGAAGTTCCTACGGGTATCTTTGCCCCTGAAACTCAAAAACACATCATATTTAAAGCTCTTGTGAATGGATGAAGTTGAAGAAGACGCCATTGAAATTATGATTGAAGGATCCTGAAAGAATAAATCTTTGAAGGGAGAATTTAGGCGAAATGATTGTAAAGAAACTTGTTGAATGAGATCAATCGACTAACCCTCCGTGTATATTACTGGTAAAGTCAACGTGATGGGTTTGTTAGGAAAACCTTTAAAATGGATAGAAGACTGAGGTTAGTTGAACAGATTAAAAAAGTTTCGAAAATTTTAAATTATACATAAATGATCCATGTGCTTTACCAAAAAAGTCTCGGTCTTTAACTATTTTTCTGATGTGAATGATCCCGGTGGTATCTAGTTCTTGCTGCTTAGTCCCCTATCCATGTGAGGTAAAATGATTGTTATACTTTTTTTATATTTTACATATATTTTATTCATATAAAGTTATTTATTTACATATAATCTAATCAAATTGTTATATGTATGGACCGACCCAAACCCCACTAGGCATCCCTCACATCACCTTGTTCTTCATGCTCGTCTAATGAAGGAAGATGAACATTCATCTTGTTAATCAACGTGTTCAAATAGATGCAAATCGATTTTGCAAAAACATAAAACCACAAATGGAACCTAGCAAAAGCATCTTTAATCGAAATAGAACCCAAAAACAAGATCGAAATGGAACCCAGCAAAACCATGTTCAATCGAAATAGAGCAAAAAAAAAACTAGATGGTTATGAGTACCACATTCTAACCAAAAAACACATGTGTTTATAAGAGACAACTTGAAGTGAACAATATGCAAGGAATATAAAGATCCTAGATGCTGATGAGAAACACCTTGAACAAAACACCCAGATGCTGATTAGAAACTCCATTTAATTTTGTTCTATCTTTTTCAGTCTAATGAAGAAAACCTTGAAAGTGGCGGCGATGCTGGAGCAAGAGATGGTGAATGGCGAATCGAGCGTGTGGCGGTGATTAGCAACATGGATACCTGCAACTGTTGGGTAATCTTGACATGGGTTGTGGGTTAATTTGATTTATGGGTATGGGTAAAAGGTTAATTATTGGTATTGTTTTATTTACTTGTTGAATAAAGAAATTGGATAGAAGGGTTTGATTAAGTCACAAAAATAGGCACGTTGCCACGTTGGAAATATACATGTTAGGAATAGTTCAAACCCTTTTACCTGTTCTTTAGCTTAGAGTAGTATTTTATTCTTTTCTTGCTTCTTCCCATGTGATGATGTATGCAAGGCTATATTGTAAGGATAAGGTAATGGAATTGATAGAGAAATTCATAGACCTAGGTGGGATAGGAGAATTGATAAAGGGAATAGAGATGATGATAGAGATCATACTGAGAAACAGATTCGATCCCAACGACCGCCTCGCAAGACCTCTGTACTTTTTTCTTGCCTTTCCTTATTTGAATTTCAGGAAATCCACTTCTTTACTAGAGAGAACTCGATTTGAAGCTTTCATTCCTCTTCGGGTGGTTTGCTTTCTCTTTATTTAGCTTTTAGCGCTCTACGGCGCCCTTCAATCTCATTTTGCAGTTGCCCCATTTCGGCCTAACGCTTATATCCTACCAACCTTAATCTGCACGTCCGAAAGGGACCCTCTAATTCTATCATTCAGAAGCCTCAGGACTGTATATAGCATTTATGTTATGAATAAAATAAAAGGTAGCAATTCTGAATACAAAACCTTTATTATCTTTTTTATAATATTGTATTTTATCCTAATCATATTTTATCCATAAATTATAATAATTTCTAAAAAAAGTTAGAAAAAATAAAGGAAAATTATTACGAATAGTATCCTTTAATGATGAACATCCGTATTGATACAGTATAGAATAAATCTGCTTCTCTTTGTTCATACAAACAAAATTTGGAACTTCGTCTTTGATCACAACAACAATAACTTCACCAATATGAGCATATTAGCGATTGCTAGCTCCTATGATTCGAATACACATCAATTCTCGAGTCCCGCTGTTATCTGCTACATTCAAATGGGTCTGAGGTTGAATCATATCATTTTTTTATCTGTTTTTTATAATACAAAGGTCGAAGAAAAAAAGAAATATTTTTTATCCATTTGTTTTCTTTATTCTCTTCTTGAGTACAACAACAAAGTCTGTTTCTTTTTGTTATTTGCTCACACATTAAAGTAGGTAGGGGTGTCAAAAAAACCCGAACCTGACTAACCCGACCCGACCCGACCCAAACCTGAATTAGGTAATTAGGATCGGGTTTAATAGGGTTAAAATTTATAATCGGGTTAATCCGACAAACCCGAATTGAAGTTAGGGTCGGGTTTAGAGTTATTTTTTCTAAAAAAAAATCGGATTTCAGGTCAACTCGTTTAACTAACAGTTTGTACAGTACAATACTTTATAGTTATTGTTATTCTTCGACTTTATTTTTCTTCATTTAAAAGTTAAATCATATCATAAAGACAAAACCCTTCATTTTTTTCTCATCATCGGGGATGGTTGTCATAAGTAACAAAATAAACTAAACATTTTCTGAAAATTTTACATTTTCAGTCCTTATATTCCTTATATTCATAAGTGATTTATAAAATTGATACATCTTACCTTCTACGTATAACCTACACTAACAACATAATGAATTGAACTTTTTTTCTTAGCAATTTATATATTTAGTCGTACTATTACTTGATTTGCTCAAATGGAAAAACATTAGTCTGACTTGCATTTCAATCCAATTAATCCGACCCTGTTAACCCGTCACCCAATTAACCCGAACCCAACTAACCCGTACCTTAATAGGATCGAGTTTTGGGTGAATTTTTTATTTTTGCAAACCCAACCCATTTAACCTGAAACCCGATAGTGTTGACTCGATTAACAGCCTTAAAAGCAGGGACTGAACCAACATTTGGTATCAAAGCCCTAAGATCGTGGGATCATCCGAAGAGGTGCTATGTGAACCATAGAGTTTGGTGAAAGCCGAAGCCTTATGTGAGCCGAGTTCAAAAACAAGAAATTTGCATGATTGAGGTTTTTTTTTTTTTTTTTTTTTTTGAAGATTAATCATGTGAGATAAAGGGTTGTGTGTTGAATGAGTTCAACCATGAAATCTGTGTGATTGAGTTTTTTTTTATTTTTTAAGATTGATCTGTGTGAGAAAAAAGGTGTGTACTAAATCCATGTTCTAGGTGAGAAAGAAAATCATAAAAGACAATAAAAACTTGTTGTGATGGCACCTTGCACATCTGATTTCGAACCAACATCCAAACAACTTGCATTTGATCGACATCCAAACAACTTGCATTTGATCGACTCTGTCTGCGGGTTGTATTGACTGATGGTTGGTGGCTGAGATTTGGTGGAGATAGTGATTCGATTAGTTTTTTATAGGGTAAATTACATCATTCGTCCCTTGTGCATGTGTCAGAAAGCACGTTTAGTCCCTATTTTAAAAAATTAACTCGGACCGTCCCTCGTTTGATTTAACCTTGCACGCTTCATCCCTTAAAAAAGATTTTGTTGCGAATTTAGTCCGTGCTAAATTTTAAAAGACCATAATGCCCTTCTAGTTTTATTTTTTAATTAATTTAATGTTTTTATTATGATTTAGAATTTAAATAAAAATAAATCCCCCTCCCCTCTTCGTTTTCCCCAACCCATTCATTATTACTGATCGGAAACAAACCCTAAAAACCTAAACTGTGATTTTTGGTTAACCCTCCTTTTTCTCCCACCACCGTCGTCGAATCCACGCCACCTTAATCCCTTCCAAGAGCCACTTGAACCACCGCTGACTGCCACGCCTCCGAATTCCCTCATCACGGAAATCAATGGCTCTAGTAAGACGTAATGGAGGTTTGATTTTGCGAAACAGACAAACATGAATTGGGGTTTTTCTGGATCGTTAGGTTCCGAAGAGCCCTTTATTTCTCCTCATTGCACATGTGATTATAGGTTTACCGGACTAAAATCCATTCAGATGTACATAGGGAAAACATGTTTTCAAAGGAAAGGAGTTCTCTAGAGAAATTAGATAAAAAATGAAGGAATTTGGGAGGAGAAATTGATGAGAGTGCGTCATAGCTGTCATCGATTCTTGAATGGAGTGTTAAGTATTTTGATATTCGATTGATTTCTGTGAGAAAAATGCCACCATTTGTGGCCTTCGCTACTTTGGAAAGGAGAGGTTGAATGTCAATGTTGAAGGCTCCAAAACGCCAGTTACACACATAGCAGAAGTCATCGGCGGAGTTTCAGATTGAGGGTTTACAATCGAGGCATTGGCGATGATTGGTGGTGGTGTCGGAGGAATAAGTCAGGTGCACTGGTGACATTTTAAACAACAACAGAGGTGATTTAAGGGTGAACGAAGATGGTAACAAGTGGTATAAGGCGGCGATGGTGATTTGGTTTAGTGATGAAGTTCTGCGAAGTAGATGAGAATCGGGAAGAAAGGAAGTAGCGTAAAGACGGGTGGGGATTTTTTGTTTAACTGGTTTGTAGATCATGGTAATGGTAGGATAAGGGGTTGAAGATTTTGCGTCCGACCACAATCTTCCTCATATCCTCTCATCTCCCTTCTTCATTTAACTTATTTGTAGATCAAGTATATGGATTTGGGTTTGATTTTAGGGTTTAATTCTAGTTTTTGTTGGAGATGAATGGTCGTGTTTGCCAGAGTTGGCTTGTGGCCTGAGGTGATAGGTGGCCGAAGGTGGCTGGTGGTCGGAAGTGACCGGTGGTAGGAGGTGGTTAATGATCGGAGGGGTTAAAGGGAAATTTTATTTTCTAAAAGTTATAATTAAAAAAAAGTAGATAAATTATAAACAAATGAAAATAAATGAAAAAGAAAAAGAAAAGGGCAAGATAATCATTTTATGTATGCGAGGGACGAAACATGTACCTTTTAACGATACGAGGGACGGTCCGAGTTAATTTTTTAAAATAGGGACTAAACATGCTTTCTGGCATATGTACGAGGGATGATTTGTGTAATTTACCCTTTTTTATACTTGTTGATTTATCAATTATGGGGATCCTCCTTCGATTTCTAGTAGAGTGTTAGGTTCTTTGGAATAAGAAAAGAGGGATGGCTAGAGGTTTATACAAGAGAGGAAGAGAAGGGCTTACCAACTAAAAAATGTTTAATTATATATCATTTAAAAAAATAAAATAATCATTAAGGGTATATAGGTAATTTCATAGAGGTTTAATTAGAAATTTTTAATAGAGTTAACCAAAAGGACCAGTAACGAGACAAATTTAAAACTAACATGACCACTGTGGTGTGCAAGGTTTGCTCTAAAAAGCTCATTCATGCCAAAAAAAAATAGTTTGATAAAGACTATTTTAGAGAAAAAAATAAAAAAGCTGTGAAATTTTATCAACAAAAATCAGCCCTGTACTTGCCCCGCCCTTCTATTACCCACTTATCGGATCCCCTAATCCTCCAGACCCGACTATACAAACCGACCCATTATCTTCCCTTGAGCCGTAGAAAGTACAAAGTAGAAACTAGAAAGGACGTCACAGCAAATAACCTAACACCAATTTACCCCACCCCCAAAATTTAATCCACCGGCGACACCCATCGCAACCTCGTCCTACCATAGCACCACCGTGCCTTCCAGCCTTTCTTTGATTTTCCTATTCCCCTCGTCTCTTTCATACCTCTCTAACACCATAGCACCACCGTACGCCTCCGCATTCCACTTCCTCTTTTGCAATTCAGGTATGATGTATGAAGTTTGATTGTGTCTCTCCAGCTAATCAGGTTCGTCATTCTTCCATTCTTCATTCTCTCAAGACTTGTACTTTGGGCTTCAAGATTGATCCTGGGTGTATGTTTCATTTCGTGCAGAGTTGTAGCTAGTCATCATCACCCTTTGATTCAAGACTTTGATTTGCTTTAGATGATTTTTTTGCTACTTTCTATTGATGGATTATGATTACTGTCGTCTTATTGTTATGAAGTTTTGTTTTCTGAAAGTTTTGTACAGTGGGATTTCGATTTGTCACATAATTCCTTGGAAGAAATTTTGTACATGCTTGAGTTTAATGTTCCTAAATGATGGAATGAAGTGTTGGTAATCCAATCACCATAGTTTCCTATACTTTTTAACTCCATATCTCCCTCTTCTACATTCTTTGAAAAAAACAAGACTTGTGTAGCGATCCTTCTCCCTTCCTTAATGCCTCTCGTGCTAAGATACATAAATAATGAATCATTGGATTAACATAGTAAATTAATATGAAGTGTTGTATAAATTTTATAAGCAACACTACACAATTTTCTCAAAATGAACACTTTTAAAAGAAAATGAATGGATTACAAATTATTTTGGAGGGCAAAAAATCTTTTCTTTATAACTCAAGCAAATTGCAAGAAATAACAATTTAACTTACCTTTTTTTACCAATATGAAGGTCTCTTAACTTTTACCTATAATAACAACATATTTACAATTTTCTACTGATTATATAAAGATGTAAGTATTACCAAAACCGTTTCCATAACACAATAAATGTTGCAGTCAACACAGATATGAGCTGATTCTTAACTTTGTAAACTGCAATCTTATTGAATACACATTAGGTTGATGCATAATAGCTCAAAGAAATTAGCTTAAATCATAATTCAAAATACAAAGCAATAAGCTCCAAGCCTAAAAACACGCAATTACAAGAATAATTCTTGATGATGGTAACCTTTTGAGGAAAACAGACATGATATATGTATTTTCAATTTTTTTATTAGAGCATTAACTCTGAAAAAAACTACCCGATTATAACATGGTACTTCTAATCTCTCTTACTAGAACATTATATCTTCTATTTATAGCATTGTACTTTTGAAAATTTCTTGATAGAACATTATACTTTGAAAAATCTACCCAGTTATAACATTGTACTTCCATTTTTTTTTCTTATCAGACCATTATAATTTGAAAACTCACCCAACTATAGCATTGTGCTTTCTATCTTTACTTATTAGAACATTATACTTTGAAAATCTACCCAATTATAGCATTGTACTCTTAAATTTTGATCTTACTAGTTCATAATTGCATAAAAATCTACCCAACTATAGCATTGTACTTTCATATTTATTTCATATTAGAACATTATAATTTGAAGTTTCAATGTTTTTCGTATTACATAAGGTATACTCTAACAAATCTACCCAATTAGGGCAGTGAAATTGCTTTGTATCTTAATGTCACTGCTATAATCAGGTATATATTTTGTAGTACAATGCTGTAATATAAGAGGAAGAAATAAAAATATGATGCTATGATAAACAAGCAAATTAAAGTATGTTGCTATTTATGCATTTAACCCCATTCATATATACAACATGTGCTTGGATATAAGAGAGGTGGATAGTGAGAAATTTACCCAAGTTTGTGTTTCATCAATTTCTCAGCATCTCTTTTCTGCAAAGGCGTTGAATTTAAGTTTTCATCAGGAAATATCAAGAGATGAGAAGGACACTAAGATGAGCCATGTTATAACAGTCTTTTCAATTTACCAATCATTAAAATGAAGAAATAATACACCAACCTTCAATAACAAGGCACAAACTCCATATAAAAACTGAAGATCCTGAAACAATTATGAAATCCAAGTATCAACAGAAATCCATCCATGTGAATGATGAAATAAATTTTAATTCTACTCAAGAGGAAGACCAATGTGGAGACCAAATTATGAGCAAAGGTTGCTGAGAGTTATGATTTATGATGTACCACAAACCTGACAACATAATAAAATGGCATCAGATAATAAGTACATTGCTTATACAGACACCAAATTTGATTTCAATTAACAAATATTAACCCCAGTTGCCAAGATTGCTGAAGAACAAAATCAATGCAACATCCCATCCTCCATGTTCAGTGAAATGACACCTTGACAGCTTCCTGGTAGAAATTACTGATATGATGAAATCACTTTTTGACACATATATGTAAACAATATTAATTCAAGGGAAAAACAGAGTTCACATACCATCACTACCCATGATTAGATCCGAAGCCAAATATTCCACAAGGAACTGTGTCATGTTTCATGGCATCATCATACAATTATATGAAACAACACAAGTCCACTTCTATCAGCAGCACACACTGATAGAGATCCTGCAAAGAGCCCATGGAGCCCAGATCCTTGAAGGTGTAACACAGGAGAAGGATACCTATAAAATAACATCGTATAAACCTTTGACAAAGTTGAGATTCTGATCATCACAAGCACATTGGCATATCTTTCCCTCTTCAGGTCAAAAAATTGGTAAACCATAATGATTAAAGTAAACTTAATAGCATCCTGATAACCTATTGAAATGCAAAACCTCTATTATGATTAAAAGTAGAAAGAAAAATGTTTTGGTTATCAGACACGTGCTTGTGTTGCTAGGTGTCATCTTGGACCAATGTAGTATTTTCCAAAAAATACGGTTTGGTTTACAAATGAAACAAAATGTATGATGGTTAAAGAAACTCTATATAGTAAACGAAAGACTCGATTACATGGTATGATTAAAACCAATGGTAAAAGGGAATAAAATTTTACATGTTTGGTGATTTGCACAAAACCCATAACGATGAATAAGATACTCTGCGAATTCTTCTTGTACGTATTCTACTTTTTAATTGTTTTTTCAGGCTGAAATATTAACCACTTTCATATCAATTTCTAAATTCGATATAAAGTAAGATGATATATCGAAAACAGAGAATACCTGTTGCAATGGTTCTTTGTAAAATGGCTTTTGTAGGCCTTCCAATCTTCTGAAAATCATCCCACTACAATGTAGCAGAACGTTTTTAAGTACTCAGAACTTTTTATCTCGGATGTAAACCCACACGATTCGAGAAGATCTCTCGACCCAACAATATGTAAGCCTTTCAATAAAAGAATGCTCTGTGGAAGATGACTTATGCTTGTATCTTCAATATTTAACAATTTCAAACATTCTAAACGTCCAAGTTCCTCAGGTAACTTCTCAAGAAACCAACAATGATTGAGTTCGAGACATTCCAAATGTTTCAACATACAAATGCTATCTAGAAGATACCTAACCTCTGTAGACGATAAGATTAGCTCCTTGAGATTTTCTAACTTGTATAGGTCCTCAGGCACCTCAAGGATACTACCTTCTAGTTGAAGCTGTCTTAAACGTCGTAACCCACAAATGCTTCCGGAAAACTTCTTAAGGTACGTGCAAGAACACATAAGTTCTACCAAATTATAACATTTGTCAAGTTGTAAAATCTCGAGATTTGGAGTCAGTCCAAGGTCAAGGGTTCTCAACTTTGAATGACTAATGTTGAGGTTGGTGAGCATTTGACATTCATTTCCCATGTAAAGTTCTTCCAGGTGAGAATTTTCATGCAGATCTAGATTCCTGAGATTTGGAGTCTGCCCAATGTCAAGGGTCGTCAACTTTGAATTAGAGATTAGTAAGTATTTGAGATTTAGACATCTACGGGGCATGTGAAGTTTTTCCAACTTTTTGCAATTAAAAAGAGACAACTCTTCAAGATTCGGAGCGAGTCCAAGATCAAGGGTCCTCAAACTTGAACCTTTAAGTTCGAGGTATTTGAGCTTTAAAAATTCAACAGGCATGTGAAGTTCTACCAAATGACAACATCCTCCAAGATCTAACCTCTTCAGATTCGGAAACAGCCCAAGGTTAAGCGCCCTCAACCTCGAAAAACTAATGTTGAGGTTGGTGATATATTGACATTCATTCACCATGTTAAGTTCTTCCAAGTAATCACATTTTCCAAAAACTAATTCCTGGAGATTTGGATTAAGACCAATATCAAGAGTCCTCAACTTTGAATTAGCGAGTCCTAAGTACTTGAGATTTAGACATCTATCAGGCATCTGAAGTTTTTCCAAACATTTGCAGAAGTTAAGAATCAACTCTTTGAGATTTGGTGCCAGCCTAAGGTCAAGGGTCCTGATCAAACTTGAATTGCTGAGGTCGATGCGTATGAGCTTTAAACATTCAACAGGCATGCGAAGATCTGCCAAATTAGAACATCGTCCAAGATCTAACGTCTCAAGATTTGGAGTAAGTCCAAGGTCAAGGGTAGTCAGCATTGAACAACTGAGGTCCAGGATTCTCAGCTTGTTAAGAACCTAAGATTAAAAAAAATTAAAAAATTAAAAAGCAAGATGAATATTGGCATAATAACAAAGCAATGAATGTACAACATTACAATATATCATGCAAAACAATCAATCAATCATATTTCCACCTTCTGTTCTCCCCCTTCCCAAAGTTGTACAATTTTACTGCTAGCCATCTTAAGTGCAACAAGGTTACTTGCTTGAAATGTTATGGGTAAAGACCTAAAAGGGTAACCGATGATATGTACATATCGTAAAGCATTTGGAAATTCTGGGTTGACTATATTCCACACCCAATACAAATTAGAATCCGAATACACACCACGAGCAGCTCCCACATAAAGAAATCTAAGTTCCTTCATCTTTCCAAGACCTTTTATATCAAATATCCGATTGCTGTTTTGAGTGTTGAGTCGTATGCACCTTGTCGCTTTCGTACCCTGTAATTCAAAAAAGTCGCCATGAATCTTGTTTTACCAAATGAAAATGTGTTACTTTTTCCAAACTTACTAATAAAATTAATCCTTACCAAATCATTAGCCAATACATTTCCAATTTCTTCGCAAATCCACAATCGGGTATGTTTGTGAGGTTTATCCGGGTGTGAGCGGCGAACAATATTTCTGCCCATTTCTTCAAGATGGTCATGCATGCCCACATACTTGCATTTATTGGAATTATCATAATTAATAGTTATGAGAGATTTTTGCTTAAGAACTCTTAAACCATTTCTAGCATGAAATCCACAGCATTCAAGTGCTTTGATTGCATCATCTTTCCGCCAACCTTTCATGATGCATGCAACATCTAGAAACATTTCCTTGTAATCCTCCTCTAGAGAAATATAGCTTAGTTCCAATTTTTTCAAAGTCTCTGTTAACGGAATCTTTTTTAGTCGTTCTAGGGCATCTATCCATTCAAGCTCATTTTTACCACAAAGAAACAGACCCAAAACTCTGATTGTTAAAGGAAGACCAGCAGCGTAACGTACAACTTGTCTTGACAGCTCGTCATACTCTTTAACTGGAATATCTCTCCCAAATGCACACCTATTGAATAGGCAAATCGCTTCATTATACGATAACAAATTGACATCATGAATGAACCGCACTCTGTGTGCTACAAGCACTTGCTCATCTCTTGTTGTGATGATAATTCTACTTCCTAGCTTGAACCAATTAAGCTCACCGGCTAATGCCTCAAGCTGGTCTATATGATCCACATCATCCAGAACAACAAGAACTTTTTTATCACGCATCCTCCTCTTCATCATGTGTTTCCCATCATAAATACTACTTACACGTATGTCTTCATTTAAGACATCTGAAAGGACTTGCTTTTGCAACGACTTTAAACCTGACAAAGAAGCATTTTCCCTGACATTTTCAACGAAGCTTTTATCTTCAAACTGAAAGGATATGTCATCAAAAATAGCTCTTGCTAAAGTTGTCTTTCCACCACCTCCAATCCCCTTGATCCCGATCATGCGAACATCATCACAACCATTTCCTAAAGATGGTACAAGATCTTGGATCCGGGTCTCCATTCCTACTAACTTTTCATCAATGTTGAAACTGATGGAACGCAACTCTAGTGAAATCTCTTCAACTATTCTCTGGATAAATTTAGCTTCATGTCTGTATTTTAAAAATGATTCAATTAACCTATTTAATTAAAACCCCACATGACGGGTTGCTTTCAGATCTATAACATACATGATACAATCCTTTATTAAAAAAATAAAGCGTAGTTGTAAGTATTTTATGGTTATTCTTCCGACAAGACTCATATTTTATGGTTATTCTTCCGACAAGACTCAAACTGAGGTAAAAGAAATTAGACAACCTAAGACATGTTGGGGCCATTTATATCAAGGTTATACGCTATAGATCAGATTTAAACAAAATACAAGAATATTGAATAGATCTAATTAAGGAATTACCCATCAGCAGTCTTCTTCAACTCCCACCCAGCAAGATCCGCTGCTTCTTTCAGAGCCACTCTCCATTTCCCAGCAGCCTCTTCCATTTCGTACTTGGCAAATGCTTCTCCAACTGCCCCACTTTGTTTTCTGACTTCGGAGGGTTCCACATCATAGAAGACAGGGTAAGCAGTGTGCTCTGTTGTCGTCCTGTGGCACTCCATTATCTTTACTAGCTCATCCAAGCACCAAGATGAAGAGGCATAGTTCTTTGAGAAAACAATGATGTAGAACTTTGAATCTTCAATCGATCCGATGAGTTCATCACTGATCTTTTTACCTTTTTTGATTTTCTCATCGTCCTTGTAAGTATGAATGCTTTTCTGCTGGAGAGCATGATAAAGATGATCAACGAAGTTTGTACGAGTATCTTCGCCCCTGAAACTCAAAAATACATCATACTTAAAGCTCTTGTGAACCGATGAAGTTGAAGAAAAAGCCATTGCCATTAAAGATATGATAGAAGGATCGCAATAGATCAAATCTGTGTTCCCTGTTGGAAACTTGATGAGATAATCGAGTAAACTCTCCCTATATTACTTGTAAAGTCAATGTGATGGGTTTGATTGGAAGACCTTTGGAAAGGATAGATAGAGAAAAACTACATAAACTATTTATGTAATTCTGGGCCGGCCCATAGGAGAGCCGGGCCACGGCCCAGGGAAGCCTAATGGATACTCCAGTTATGCTTGTATCATATATGCATATGTTGGCCCAAACTTTGATGTATATAATATAGTCGTCTCTGACGTGATACTGTTCTACCAAGCTATCAGCGATTCAGCACGATTCTCAAAAAAAAAAAAGTGAATTCTTGATTCGTTGTACTGATTGATCACGCCATTCTTCATCCTTAATCAGACGGTTGGAGATTTCATAGCAACGGCAACAAAGATTCTGAGTTTTTCAGCCTTCGGTTCTCAAATGTCATTATAAACCAGGATTAGGAATATGATAAATCACATCATTCTACTCTCCTTTGTAATCTTTCTATTGACCTAATCTAATTTCTTAATTTCTTAGCTTATGAATTATGATTCTTATGTAGGTTCTAGTGTCTAGACTCTAGTTATATTTCTGATTTATAGATAGTAGAGTGGGGAGATACATTAGGTGGTCTTTGAGACTTTGACTCGTTGTCTGACTGTTTTTTTTTACTCTTTTCCACATACCCCACAAGTCTACAAACGACAATCTCATAAGAACTGAGTTAAATTATTATTTCTGTCTTTCTATTATTTGTAATCATTTATTATTTAGTGATTTATTGATTTTTGTTATTTCTAATGTCTGATTTGCCATATTCGTTTCTTAGTTGGTTTAATAGATTGATTTCTGATTAATTACTTTAATCCCAAATGTTCCTAACGATAATACCTGTACTTTATAGGAATTTTGTTTAAAAAAAAACCCAAAAACTTTATACTAGGAGCAAAAAAGGTTTGAACCATGGTAGCATGTATTTTAAGTGGTCTTCATTTTTCTTATTATAACAATAGGAAATTTGTTTAAAAAACTCTTTGAAATATCATGAGAGTGATTCACCAAGTCAAATGTTCAAATGTTGATGATCTAAGTTTAACAGAGCATTAATAAGATGTTTTTATGGAACTTAATTGAGATTTTGGTTGTTCAAATGATTGGATCATGTTTTGAAGTGATTTGCAACCTAAATTAGAATGTCAGTTGATTCAATAGAAACCATTTGGAAACAGTGCCGATTGGTATCATGAATGGTGGCACATGGTGTTTCTCCAGCAGCCATAAAATCCAGTAACAATGGCATCAGGATCATTGGCAAATAAATTGTAATAACCTGTAATCAGAAAAAGAGAGTTGTGAATAAAAATTAAAATAAATCGTAATAACCTGTAATAAGAAAAAGAGAGTTGTGAATAAAAATTAATAAGTCTCTTGGTTGCATCTACCACTATAAAGAACATGGTTCAAATAACATTCTAGGTTATATGCATGAAAGAGCAACGTACATTCATTTATATAGATATTAAAGCATCCTACTATCATTTATTCTTGTTATAACATTGTACTTTGAAAAATCTACCAATTATAGTAATATCATCAAAATACAAATAACTTTTCACTTCTATATATGGGTATAATTTTTTAAGTATAATATCCTAATAATAGAAGGAAATGAAAGTAGGAGGCTATATTCCTCCTCATGGTAATTAATTGGGATTCTACCCATGGTTAAATCAGTAATATAATCCAAGAACACTCAGATGAAATTAGAAATTAAAGATCAAATAAAGATAGTTTCCATTCATTCGAGAGGAATGGTCTCTCCAAAGAAGAACAAAGGTTCTTTACAAATAAATTCTTAGCTACGTTAACAAAAACCTACAGGGATATATATATTAGACATGACTTAGGAAAAGATGCTCCAAAAGGAGTGGTCCCTCCAACAGACATGGGAAAGAGATAATGCTCCCAAGATGACTAATAACGGGTAAAACCCCAAAAAGACAAAACTACCCCTGGACCCAAAACATACAATAAAATGACTCAGACAATGCAATTAAGGGGGTGTTTGGATAGGAAAAAAAGAGGTGCTTATTGCTTATTCCCACAATAAGCTAATTTAAGTGTTTGGATAAAATCCAGCTTATTAGGCTAAATAAGCTAATTTTAATAAGCATTCATCCCCATGCTTATTGCTTATTGCTTATTCCCACCACAAATAAGCTATAAGCAATAAGATAAAAATCTAATCCAAACACCCCCTAAGCTAAAAGCATTCCAGGCTAAGTTGGGGCTTATCAAGAACCTCAGGTGGTAGATGACTCAAGTGAAGATACATGTGGTCCTTCAATGTTCCTATTATAAGGAAGCAAGATTAATTTAACTGAGATGTGACTCTCTTCCCCAAATAAATAGATTAAACACATAATTGTTTATAGATATATTTTTTATTTTTAGGTTATGATTTTACTTATTGTCAGATCAATGTCAAAATTAAAATCAGAGCAAGACGACCGCTAGAAAATAGAAAAAGTACCTGTTACAACAGTTCTTTGTGAGCTGTCTCTTCCAGATCTTTTGAGCTTCTTAAAATCATCCCAACACTAAGTAGCACAATGTTTTGTGTTCTTGGGTTCGTATCTCTGATGTAAAACCACATGACTAAAGAAGTTCTCTCGAACCAATAATTCTTTTAAACATTCCTCAGGCAATTTCTCAACTCGAATATAATCATGGAGATAGAAATATTCTAGGCATTTCATCTCACAGATGCTATTCGGGATATGTTTTAACAATTCACACTTCCCTAGGCTTAGCTCCTCTAAACATTCTAATTGGCCAAGATCCTCCGGTAACTTCTCAAGCAGCGAACAATGATAAAACTTAAGATATTTTAGTCGTTTCAACATGAAAATGCTATTCGGAAGATGTTTAATCTTTGTAAATGACAAATCTAGATCCTTTAAACATTCTAATTGACCAAGATCCTCTGGTAACTTCTCAAGCCATGAACAATAAAAAACTTTGAGGGATTTCAGATGTTTCAACATACAAATGCTACCCATAAGATGTTTAATTTTTGTATATGACAAATCTAGCTCCTCTAAATGTTCTAATCGGCCAAGATTATCGGGTAACTTCTCAAGAAGCCAACACGATGTAAGTTTGAGGGATTTCAGATGTTTCAACATATAAATGCTATGTGGAAGATAGTTTATATTTGTAGAAAACAAAATTAGCTCCTCGAGAGATTCTAATTGGTCAAGGTCCTTGATTTCCTCTTGAAAACTGTTTTCATGTTCAAGTTTTATTAATTGTCTTAAACCAAAAATGCTTCGTGAAAACATCTCAAGGTTTGTGCAAGCACACATACCTAGAGAAATAAGCATCTCAAGATTTCTAGTCAATGAGGGTCGATCTTCTTTATAAACACAGTCAAACCCAAAAGTTGGCAACTTATTGCCAGGGTGAAGTCAACATCTTTCTAGAGACTGTAACTGTACATGCAGATGTAATTCAGCTAAAGGACCAATCTCAAGTGATTCATCCACACTACAAGAACTACAACTCTTTATTTGAAACTTGAAAGATCTAAACCTCAAACAACCACTTAAGTCTACGTGGACAAGCTTTTTTAGACATTCAATGCGAGTTTGAAGTTCTACCAATTTACGACATTCTTTGAGATCTAACTTCATGAGATTTGGAGTCATCCGAAGGTCAAGGGTTCTCAAATTTGAATAGCTAATTTTGAGTTCAGCGAGCTTTTGACATTTATTGTCCATGTGAAGTTCTTCCAAACAATAAGACCATTGAAGATCTAACTTCTCGATATTCGAAGTCAGCAAGGGTCCTCAACTTTGAATTAGTAACTAGTAAGCATCTGAGATTCAGGCATTTATCGGGAAAGTGAAGTTTTCCAAATTGTTGCATTCAACAAGAATCAACCGTTCAAGATTTGGAGCAAACCCAAGGTCAATGGTCCTCAACCTTGAACCTTCAAGGTCAACAGATGTGAGCTTTAAACATCCAGCAGTCATGTGGATTTCTAGCAAATCCTTACATTCTTGAAGATTCAAGGTCTCGAGATTTGGAGTAAGCTTAAGGTTCAAAGGTACTCATCATTGAATGACTAAGGTCAAGGAATCTGAGCTTGTTAAGGACCTAAAATAAGCAAAAAGAAAAATGAATATAGTGTAATAACAAAACAATGTATGTATAGCATTATAATAAATCATGTAAAACAAACAATCAATCATAATTTTACCTTTCTTTGTCCCCCTTCCCAAAGTTGTACCATTCTGCTGCCATCCATCTCCAGTGTAACAAGATTATTTGCTTGAAATCTTGTGGGTAAAGACCTAAAACGCTAACCGCTCCAACACAGATATCGTAAAGCATTTGGGAAGTTTGGACTGACTATACTGAACTCCAAGTCACTGGAACAATATCCACAGACGGAAAGAAATCTAAGTTCCTTCATCTTTCTTAGACGTTTTATAAAAATATGATGATTGAATGTGTTAGTGTGGAATAGCATACATCTTGTTTCTTTAGTCCCCTGCAATCCAAAAGAAGTCGCCATGATTGTGTCACATTAACTATAGATGTGTTAGTTTTTCACAACATATAAGCAAACTTGATCCTTACCAAATCATTAGCCAATATATCTTCAATTTCATCGATTTTCCACAATCGGCTATGTTTATGAGGCTTATCGGGGTTTGAGTGACAAACAATATTCCTACCCATTTCCACAACATGATCATGCATGCCATGAACTCGTAAACCAACTCGTCACCGTAAGAATTACAAATAATAGTTATGAGAGAATTTTGCTCAAGAACTCGTAAACCAATTCTAGCATGAAATCCACAACTTTCAAGAGCTCTGATTGCATTGTCTTTCTCCCAACCTTTCAGGTTGCATGCAGTATCTAAGAATATTTCATTGTAATCTTCGTCGAGACTGATATAGCTTAATTCCAATTTTTTCAAAGTCTCTGTTAACGGAATCGTTTTTAGTTGTTCTAGGGAATCTATCCATTCAAGCTCATTTTTACAACAAAGAGAAGAACCTAAAACTTTGATCGTTAAGGGAAGTCCAGTAGCATAGCATACAACTTCTCTTGATAGGTCTTCATACCTTGGAGATGGAACCTCACTCCCAAATGCATACCGATGGAAGAGGCAAAATGATTCCTCATCCGATAACAGAGAGACATCACAAATGAACTCCACTCGGTGTGCTACAAGAACATGCCCATCTTTGTTGTAATGATAATTCTACTACCTGTCTTAAAACAATTAGATTCACCGGCTAACGCCACAAGGTGGTCTATACAATCCACATCATCTAGAACAACAAGAACCTTTCTATCACGCATCATCCTCATCATCAGGTGTTTTTGGCCACTGTTTTCGTCTATTCCGGTGATGACAGCCTCTTGAGAGGTGGCTGAATATGAGCATGTTCGAGTATTTTGGTTGTTTTTGGTATTTTTGGTGTAGTATGCGAGTTATTTTGCCAGAAAAAACCCACTGCCAGTCTGCCTCTGCCACCACCATTTGCTGCCGCTATCAGCCACTGTGTAGAGGTGGATGTGTGTGTAGTATGGTGTGTGAGTGTGTGTGTTTTATTGATAAATGTTGTATCAATTTTCTTAGTCAAAAGTGAAGAAGATCGCCACCACCATCGTGAGGTGGTGGCTGGCGCCGTGAGCCGCCGTCGACCACCATTGCCTGAGGTGGCAGTGGGTGGTGCTTGACTTGGTGAAACCCTAACCAACTTAAAACTTAGCTTTTGGGCCTAATTGGCGTGTTTTGGGTTGGAAACCCTATGTGAAAACCCGAAATTTCCATTCTGTACAAATTATATCACTTCAATAGAAGTTATAGCAGTCACAGTTAATTTTCAGACTTTTGCGTAAGTTTGAGTAATTCAGGGTTTATACTTCAGGAAATATCAGGAGAGTGGGTGCACTAGGGTTTTGTGCAACACTATTATTCCAACACTCTATTTTATTAGGGATCATTTCAGGAATAAAAATATTTTCTGCCAAAATATCTCAGGACTATAAATAGATTTCTGAACCAAATTCATTCATTATTCACATTTCCGACTAGAGAAAAGCCATTTTCTCTCTGACGGATCTTCGGGTTTTTATACCAAAACGTGAGTAACTCTTTATAGTAATGTTAGAAAGCTTTATATGTGTCTATAACATGATTTAGAAGGCTAAAACATGAGATCTAGGAGTTTACACCCCAAGGTGTTCTTGGGCGGTAAACTCCTAAAACGAAGCCAAAACCGACACTTGTGTTATGATAAGGCCTTAGATGCTTATATATACATGTTAGGGACAAGAAAACAACCACAAATCACCCAAGTTTGGGGAGTTCACGACCCAAGAGTTGCTTAGGCCGTAAACTCCCTTTTCAAGCTCAAAATGGTGATTTAAGGACTCTAAGACTTTAAGGCTTTTATCTAGACTATTTTCCCATGAAGTGTAAGGCCTTAAACACATCAAAAGACACAAACAAAAGTGAGTTTACGGCCCAAGTGAATCTTAGGCCGTAAATTCCATTGAAATGGACAAAAGGGGTGTTTTCATGACACCTAAAGCCCTAGACCTTTACAAGAAATTGTACCCACTTAATGGAAGGACCAAACCACATCAAAATCACTTAACAAAGTGAGTTTACAGCCAAGGCATGGTTCTTGGGCCGTAAACTCCTAAAAAGGGCACCAAGGTGTGCCTAATGCCTTCTTATGCTAGGAGTAAAAGTCTAGAACATATACCACAAGTGCAAGAGGCTTGAAAACAACAAAAACAACACCCCAAGGGAGTTTACGGCCGTAAACTCCAAGGGGAATGGCCTTGAGGCCATAAAATCCTAATTGGAGTATTTCTAGACCTCAAACCCTTCCAAGGACTTAGCCACTAAGTTAGAATAATTCTAGAAAGCATTTGGGACTTCAAAACACACCAAACACACATGTTTGGGAGTTTACAGCCGTAAACTCAAGAGTTTACAACCGTAAACTCCATGTGTGATGGTTTATGGAGAGTAAACTCTCATATAGGGTCCTTTGGAAACCCTAAACACAAATACCCTGTACCACAATAGCTTAGATGCAATCCTTAAGGCTTAAAACACTTATATATAGTGTTTATTATGTCTAGGATGTCTTAAACATTATCAATTAGTCATTTGAGTCTAATTGAGTGCATATATGTGTGATTATATGTTCATTATGATCGTAGTGTGTGCACAAGTCGTCGCTTGACACCTAGCCATCCTATACCGTTCAGTTCATTCCAATCACCAACTACAGGTGAGTTCATACCCCTAATCAATGTTTTAAATGATTTTAAATGCATTAAAGTGGGGGGAATACAAGTAGAAACAAACATGTTATTAAATCATTGTTATGTATTTTATAACTGTATTTGTCATTTAACAGATTTCACATACTACAAAATGTGATGCATGAAATGGTTTTAAATCTTAAAAACGCATTGTTATCAATTGTTTTACATTTGAAATGTATATTATAAATGACATCAAGTCATTGTTAATTATTGTTCAAAACCCATAAGATGTCTTATAAAACCATTTTACAGTATTGAACTAAACTATGCATGTACATTTATATTCTTATATATGTATTGATGTTATAGTTTACAGTTTTCATTTAGTTTCTCACACCCTTGAGTAGTAAGAGTGTATAAAACTACTTGAACGACCAATTACCTTCTAGTAAGTTATCATAGGGATAATTTGGAGATATCAAACATAATTCCTATTACAAGGAATCACACAAGAGTCAGTTCATTCATGAGTCTATACCAGTACATTACCTGATACATGAGTACCTTTACATCTGATTACATGATACATGAGTACGTTTACATATACTTACATGATACATGAACACGCGTACATGAACGCATTACATGAGTACCTTTACGTAGATACACTTAATTATGTACATTAACATGAATACTTGTATCTCGAATTGCGAGGATGATTTATTAGTACCTTCTGCTTAAATCTTCCTGCATATCCCTAGTACCTCGGGATATCTAGACATGACCCTATCCCCAGTACCTCGAGATACCTAGATGGGCCCCTATCCCTAGTACCTCGGGATACACGTACGGGACTAACCATTCCGGAACCCATCTGTTAGCAACAGTGGGTGATGAACATCTATGGATGCCTACGGTTATTACTTATATTAGGAGTACCTTTAAAGGGACTAACCCTTCCTACCCCCTGCTGCTGCTATAGAGGACAATTGGACAATCTTCGGATGTTCATTAGGTTATATAGGTCGTGTTAACCCTAGTACCTTGGGATAACAGTTACATATGATGTGTTAGTCCTAGTACCTAGTGACAACACTTACAATAGTACATTTTCCTGTTTACTTTATTTTGTGATTCTTTCACATAAACGATGAGTTAGACTAAGTACTTTAGTACTAAACAATTAAAGGAAAACTATCATTTTACTTACAAAACATTCGGGTCTTGGTAGAAGACTACATCTCAAACTGATAGGAAATAAGGGATTTTCTAGGGTTTTTCATACGTACATCAACATTTTCATTTAACGATTTACATGGCCTTTATAACAGATTTTCACAAACAAGGCAATGACACTTATATACTTATGAATTCACCAGCTTTAAAGCTGATACTCGCTTTCAAAATAACTTGTATTCTCAGGTCATCAGTAGACAGGTACGGAGGCCAGGTTTTGAGAAGACGGAGCAGACAAGTCTCGTCTTTTATTTTGATTGTATATTTTTGGTGTCTTACTACAATGAAAGAAACACACATGTATTAAAACTTTACTTATAATGAAATGGATGATGTTGTTGCTTGTTTATTATATTACACTGTTGTGATATTGTACATGACGTCCTCCACCCCTGAACGTTTCTGCCGTTCGTGGTTTTGGGGTGTGACACCCTAATTAGGGTCTAGAAAACCCTAATCTTGGAGATTTTAATTTGGACTTACCGGGATCCGCATTTTGGACCATTAGATTGGAATTATGAATTAAGCCCGACCACACTTATGATTGACCTAACAGATTGATGGACTTAATGGATTAAGTCCTTAATGGTGTAACAACCATAGATTTTACACCAAATTCAAACTTTTTAAATCATAAATAAAAAAACCGAATAGTATTGTTTACAAAATGTTTTCAAATCATTTCCCATCAGAGTGTCCCAAAAATCATAACATAAGGATGAGGAGCGGTACGGTTACGCCTTCGCCTTTCCGTGACCTCCTGAAGTACCTGAAACAATAAACCGAAAACTGTAAGCCCAAGGGCTTAGTGAGCTACCCCCAAAATACCAATACCGCACTGATAATACCATATCAGTAATAATCAACCAATCAACATGCATACTGGGCCATCGGCCTGACTGGACCGCCCTGTCGGGCCTACAGTCTGTCTGAATCTATCCCGAGCCTTCGGCATGACTGGTCCGCCACGTGGGCCTACAGTCTTCCTGGACCGCTTATAGGGTATATTGGCCTTCAGCACAAAGCAGGACCGCCTCAACCCAACCACAAGCAAATAACCATGTGCACATATAACAGGTAATCACATAACAGTCCATAGACAAACAAATCGATCTAGCAGATCATAAGGCATAATAACATCCTAACCAGGATACCGACCTAACCGGTCACTAACATAGCATCATCCTATATACCAGGACACCGACCTAAACAAGGTCACTAACATAATACTGTCCTAATTACCAGGATGTCGATCTGATCATATCAATAAGCACATCAACCCGTACATGTACAAATATCATATATAACTAACTCACAGATCATCGATCATAGTAATCTCTCATAACCAAAACACCGACCTAACCAGGTCACTAACATATCAATCCTAACGGATCATAAGAGCATGACAACATACTGTCTATCTGGATATCGATCTAACATATCATAACCACATGTATCATACCATAACAATAACAACTAAAGGGTCGGCCTTGGTGTCGTAGACCCTATCGATATAGTGAGGATAACTCACCTCGCAGATGTCGATATGAAATGTAAACTCCAACTCTCAGACCATTTGACACAGGTTCCACCACTTATCATCATAGTTCGTCATACACATAAGTCCTTAACCTTATAAGGTACCCCATAACCCACTAGTCAACCCCTGGTCAAAGTTAAAGCCCTCAGTCAAGGTCAACAATCCATGTTGACCCCAACTCGCCGAGTACCATCGGCTACTCGCCGAGTTCCTTGAAGTACAATCCAACTCGCCGAGTCATCGGGGTGACTCGTCGAGTTCTTTTGATTCTCGTTCGAACTTTAAGGCCACCCGTCGAGTTCCCTCC